TGTTGTTTTTGTGTGCCTTCAAGTCGTTGTGGCGACCCTGAGGCAACCCTATCATGGGGTTTTCTTGCCAAGATTTCTTCAGAGGGTGGGTTGCCATGGCCCTCCTCCGAGGCTGAGAGAGTGTGACTTGCCCAAGGGGTTTCCGTGCCCGAACCGGGATTCGAACCATGGCCTCCAACGCTTAAACCACTGCGCCCGACTGCCCTCCCCCTCGTGTCCAAATGAATGAGGTTTGAGTGTTGGACTGCGACTCCGGAGATCATGCTTCGAGTCCCTGGTAGAGCATTAAAAACCGAGGCTGCATCCCCACTGCAGAAATAATAACCCGGTTTGACAGCGCTTTAACTGCCATGGCTCAACGCTTTGGAATTCTGGGAATTGTAGTTGGTCACAATAAGCTACGAATACCAGGATTCCGTAGTGTTAAAGCCGTGAAACTGGGTTGTTATTTCTGCAGTGTTTATACGGCCTGGGTGACCCTGGGTAAGTCACACTCTCATCCTCAGGGGAAGGCAATGGCAAACCCCTCTGAACCTGGCCTCCACTCCACCAAATGCATCTGAGGAAGTAGACATGGGGTAAGCTCCTGGGATTCTGGGAGCTGAAGTCCCTCGGCCCTTAAAGGGGAAAGGTTGCCTACCCCTGAAGTAGACTGAAGTCTACAAAAGTTCATGCTGCCAACTTCAGTTAGGGCAGGGGTAGGCAACCTTTCCCCTTTAAGGGCCGAGGGACTTCAGCTTCCAGAATCCCAGGAGCTATTGGCCAACATGGGACTATTGGCCAACATGGCTGAGGCTTCTGGGAGCTGAAGTCCTTCGGCCCTTAAAGGGGAAAGGTTGCCTACCCCTGAATTAGGGCCTTTACAGACTGCCAGAAATAATGTAGCTCTTTGATTGACCAGGTGAATACCTCTTAATGTTGTTATTCTTGTGTGCTTTCCAGTCGTTTCCAATTTATGGTGACCCTAAGGACGTTTTCACACGGGGTTTTAGGAGGACGCTAGCTGGCCTCCCTCCGGCCCCACTCTGGCTCCACTGTCAAATTTTTCACACGACGTTGCATGAAGCCCCGCCCCATCCAGCGCCATCCCTGGCGCTATCCGGCGTCCCTCCGGGGTCTTGCTGCGCGTGTTCATACGACGTCGCAGCAAGCCCCGCCCTATCCAGCGCCATCCCTGCGCCATCCCCGGCACTGGCCGGCTTTAGACCCGTTTTTCTAATTCCTTTTTTAAAAAGGAATTACAGGGGCTGCTGCCGGAAGCAATCAGGAGCCACTCCGGCGGCTGCTGTTTTCACCGCCGGAATGGCTCTTCTTTGCTTCCAGGCAGCTTCCAGCCGGCTTTAGAGCCGTGTGTATGAAAACGTCCTAAGGCGCAGCAGTGGTTTGAGTGTTGGAATAGGACACTGGGACCCTAGGGTTCAGCTCCTGGCTCAGCCATGAAAACCCACTGGGTGACCATAGGCAAGTCACACTGTCTCAGCTTCAGAGGATGGCAGTGGCAAACCATCTCTGGAGAAACATGCCAAGAAAACACTACGATAGGTTTGCCTTATTGTACGTTGGAAACAACTTGAAGGCACAAAACAACAAACAACAAAGACAAGCCTGTCGCAGGTGAAGAGAAGACATGACTCACTAGAAAAGGCAACAGTGCTTGGAAAGGTAGAAGGTAGTAGGAAAAGAGGAAGGCTGCATTACAGATGGACGGACTCAAGCACGGAAGTTGTAGCCCTTAGTCTGCAAGACCTGAGCAGTGCTGATAATAGAGCTCTCATGCCTGGGGTCTCCATAAGTCAAAATCAGCTTGATTGTAGCTAACAGCATTTAGATAGGAATTCCCCTAATACAGGCATTCTTCAGGTCTCAAAGCCTGACAGCTTCAGGATAATTTTGTAGTTGTTGAATTGTATTTGTGAAAGGACGTAGATTGGAATAGGCTCTTTCAGTAAACATTCAATAGGAGGGCCTCAGGAAGAATTCTTACATTTAATATGTGAAAGCTTGTTTTATTTATCTCCCTTGCATATATTATGTATGTGTATGTAACCCAGTTCT